TGCATTCGATTTATCGATTCGATTTTGACCCTTATCGATAATTACTTATCGATTATCGATTTGTACATATGCATATCGTTATCGTTTCAATAAGGTTTCGATTTTTTCGATTTCGATTTATCGATTTTTGGGGCTTATCGATTCGGTTATCGATTACACCAATAAGAAAATTTACGGGATTCCACGGAAAGTATATCGCTGCAAACACACCTAACTAATATGGACAAAAGGAAGCTAAAATAAGAAGAGCACCGTTTATAACATAAAAATTGTGTCAACAAGCACATGCAACGAAACTAAAGTAAGGGATCAAATGTATGTCACCAACACTCCAACGGTATAAACAAATAAAAAATCAAAATACATTATCACGGCTAATTCTGTTTTCCATTAATTTGAACTTCATTCCCTTGAGCTTTAAATATGATCATTCCTTAAATGTGGTAGAGGAAATAATAGGGTTAGAGACTTAGGGTAAAGGAAAGGGTATTATAGAATAAGGGTAAAAAAAATAAAAAAAATAAAAAAAAAATTAAAAAAATTAAAAACAATTTACTGTAGCTTATCGGTTTATCGATAAACCGATAATCGAAGAGGACAAAATCGAAATCGAAATCGATAAATCGATAAGGAAAATTTTGAAATCGAAATCGAAATCGATAAACCGAAAAATCGAAATCGATAAACCGATAACAAATAATCGATTCGATTTATCGATAAACCGATTCGAATGCACACCCCTAATTAAAAGCACGAAAGTCGTTAGCGAAATATCGTTCGTCTTTTTTACCCTTTAAAATAGAGTTCACATTGGACAAAATTGTAATTAATTATTTTTCTAATATTTAGGATTTTGAAATCAAATAAATTTTTCCTTATTTGATCTATGTAAAACTCCTAATATTTAGGAATTTGAGATTGAGTAAGATTTTTACCTCGAAATTTTCTATAAATTAGGCCAAGTAATAACATCTCACTTTTAAGCTTCTTTCACGTTACGTTACAGATAAATAAAAAATTTGATTCTCATAATATTCACGAACAAAAATATAATTTTATAAAAAGCAAAGAGACCAACGAAAACCAAAAAAAGCAGAAGCACAAAAACTTTTTGTGGCTATATCAATAAATTAATCTAAGCGTTTTGTTAAATCACTTTTGTTGTTTTTTCTTTCTCTTTCTTCACCTTTAATGTCAAAATATATTTTAAAGGGATCCTTTATGATTCTCCCTTCAAAAATATATTTTACATTAGACTAAATAACTATTTAATTATTTTATTAATATTTAGGACTTGAAAGTTCATTGAAATTTTGTTATTAAATTTTTACTAATTTGAATTCTATAATTAAAATTTAGGAGTTTAAATCAATTAATTTTACCTTAAATAAATAGTTAAAAAGTCCACTATTTGAAGCGCTAATTTTTATTATCCCATCCTTATTGGAAATCTAAATTGATAGGTTAATTACCTATTTCATTGTTTTTGTTTTGCAAACATCTAATATCTATTACTTTAAAATGAATTATTGGTATTAATTTTTTGTTTCTTTTCACATTCATTCAACATATGGTAGCCCCCTATATTTTTTATATATTAAATTATTTTGATAAAATATAATGCAACATTAGTCAAATTTAAACTTTGCATCATTACCTGTAAATTTTTTCTATGAGCTACAGGCAACCTCTTTATTTCCAAATCTCTAAAATACCAAAATATTTAATTTTTTTATTTATTTTATTGAAAATTATTTTTGTGATTTATTTGTTTTTAGTATTAGGTAAAAGAAAATAATTTTAAAATAATTTATTTGTAAAAGGACTTTTCTGGCTTTTTTCCATTGAATTAGCTAAATGAAATTAACATTCATTATTTTGAAGAACTTACCCTTTTTAAAATTTTATTTTTATATTATGTGATCTTTTTGTGTACCCCTTGATATAAATATACGCGCAAAGCGCGTACCATAAGACTAGTAATATCGAATAGAGGAAGAAAATCACAGAAGGAAGCCTCTAGAATTTAGCTTATATTCAATCTAAATTAATCTCTAGAATCAAAATTAATCTCTGCTATTCTAATTAAAAATATTCAATCTCAAACTTTTGGGTTTCCCAATACGAAACTTTCAAAAATCTTGTCGTAATTCCTAATATTACACTAAAAGAAAATGAGACTCAAGTTTCGGGCATTGAAGATTACTTGCTCATTACGTCTCAAATTGTCTGTCGTATTTCTCTTTTACATGTCTTTAAAAAAATATTAATTAAAAGGGATTTTATATTATTTTACTCTTGTTTATGTCTTATAAATATAATTCCTCTTCATTGAATATTTATTAAGGATAAAATGAAAAAATAATAATCAATTTTGTTTTGAACTTCTAAAATAACATATAATTTCAGACAATTAATTTTTAAAATCACGACCAGATAATCTGAGACGGGGGGAGTTTTTTTTTTTTTTTTTTGATTAAAAAGGAAATATTATGTATAACTAATACGTATCATTACAAAAGAGATTGCAAGTAGGAGCACTAAAGCTATAATATTACATGATATATTTAATCTAACAAAAGAAGTTCCTTTGCTCCAACTGCTTTTAAAGTAAATAGTTGTAGTAGCTTATGGCTTGAATCTAACATTACGGCTTGTAATAGGGAGCCAGTTAGGCCCGACTCTCTGTATGTATTTACTAGTAATATATGTTATCTTTCTGACCAAAAAAAAAAAGCAAACAAAGGAGAAACTACTAAATATATACAAAAATATCATTTCAATTGTTTGTCATATAACAATCTAATCAAAATCTACTGAAATTATCCATAAGGCATTTGAGTAGAGCCATTGCATATGAAAGGATAGTACTGATTTAACTCCATAGGCTGCATTCTTGAACTTGAACCAATAATACCATTATTCACCAACCAATTTTCTGCCTCAATTTTCATATAATCTACAACGACAACGACAACAACAACAACTCATTATAATCCCACTTAGTGGGGTCTGGGGAGGTTAGTGTGTACGCAAACCTTACCCCTACCCTAGGGTAGAGAGACTGTTTCCAAATAGACCTCCGGCATCCTTCCTTCCAAGAACTTTCCACCTTGCTCTTGAGGAGACTCGAACTCACAACCTCTCGGTTGGAAGTGGGGGTTGCTTACCCTCAGAGCAACCCCTCTTGTCTAATTTTCATATAATCTGAATTTCCAAATTCATAATCACCAACATTAAGATCAATATTATCCAAAATTCCCATTGAATTCACATTATCAGCTGTCAATTCTTGAAAAAACTGGTTATCCATATAAGAAATAGGCTGTATATTACTTTGGTTGAAATTGTCCATTAATTCAGGATAGTCCCAAATTTCTTGATTTGAATCTTGATTAATATTCCTACTACTTTTCAAGAATTCAGATTTTCCCTTTGCATTCTCCATCTTTTTCTCAAGAACCCCAGCAAGATTTCTTAATTCTTTTTCAGATAAATAGTTGAATCTTGAATCCCAAGTTGGGTATTTTTCTGTCTTGATTTTTGTCTTCAACTTTTCCATTTTAATCTCAGCCTTTTTCTTTTCATTTTCCAAGAAGCTACACAAACTGTTTTCTCTTTTTGGTTGGTTTTTGTAGAAATTTATTAGCTCTTGAACTTCGTTTGGATCATTTGGCCAGATTTGAGGAGAAATAACTTCATAATTATTTCCTTCGTTTATGATCATGCATGCTTTGATATCACAAAGTATTGAGAGCTCTGAGATTTTCTTGATTAAGCAAGCTTTCCTTTTTTGGAAAGTGGATTTCCTTGTCTTCTCATCTTGAATAAGTTCCATCTTGATTTTTGATCTTCCCATTTTAATTTGCCTGTTCAAGAAAACATACATATATAATTAAATAGAACTAAAACACCAAAAAGTAAATTAACAAAGGGTTTTATATCATATATTTTCTACATTTTTGTGAAGATTGGTTGCTGCTTTCTGGTAATTATAAATGTTAGAATTCACAAAAATCAGCAATGATTAAATTTTCAGCACAATGAATTAGAACTTTATTCCTTAATATTATAATTTAAAGAAATAATCTCCAATTAATCCAAAACACATAAAATTCATTGGGGGAAGAAACACAATAGAATTTGAGAATTAATACAAACTTCAAATTGAGAACTATATTTAAACTTCAAGAACGTCTACTATTACATAATTTCAAGAACATGAATTACTGAGGACATGGCCCTTGACAAAGAATTATGGAGGTCGAGCATTAAGGTTGTAGGTTAGTGGAAAGTTGTGAATATTTCTACAGCACAATAGAGTGAGACTAGCCAGTTAGGAGTTAGACTAAGAATGTCATTGGTCGTCTATTGATGCAGGGCTTTACTTGCTAGTTTTACTATACCAGTCATCTATGTCGTATTTCGTATTTTGTATTTCATATCTCTTGCTGTTATTTTATTATGTACTTTTATGGTACTAATATATCGGCTCCTGTTGCTTTTTTGAGTCGAGGGTCTCCTGGAAACAGCTTCTCTACCTTCCGGAGTAGGAGTAAGGTCTGCGTACATATTACCCTCTCAGACCCCACTTGTAAGATTATACTGGGATTAATACAAACTTCAAATTAGCAATATGTTTTCTGAGAGTACAATTGCCATAACTATATATAAGAGTTTGACGCGTTTTTTTTTTTAGAAACTATATTAATTATTTTTCTTGTCCCTTTTCCAATTGGAGAAATTATAGGAAACTAGGAATATTTGTCCTTCCACCACTCTACTTTCACCGTTTTTATATTAATAACTTAATTTATAAAAATATTAGTATTATTTAACTATAAAATAAAGAATTCAAGTCTTTAGCATCATAACGATTTTTTAAAAAAAAAAATTATGTATAGAAAAGATATAAACAAAACAAGTGTTACTTTCAATATTATGAAAAAGGTGCCTGAATGAATTAGAGATTCAACAATAAAAAATACTAGTTTAATTTTGTCTTTAAAAAATATTTAAAAATCACAATGAAAAATAATGTACTTCACATTAATCCTTTTCATCTTTTAGGGGTCGTTTGGTATGATGGATAAGCAAAAATAACCGTGGAATAAAAATTTAGTATCGCTTTATCCCTTGTTTCGTAATGATTTTTGTGTGAGAAAACAAAGTTCGATGATTTTAGTGAAAAAAAGTCATAGTTATATGATTTTTGTGTGAGAAAATAACGTTACATGGCTTTGGTGAAAAAAAGTCATAGTTATATAAGCATTTGTAAAATTTACCCTGAAGAGTATTTGAAGGACTTCTCTGTAATCTATAATCAAGGACAGAACCCAGTAAGTAACTTTGGCTCAAACCTTATATTTATGCCAAAAATTTTACGGAATATGTATAGATAGTCTATATAGAACCCAATAAGTAAAAAAGATTACGGTCCAGAACTCATAAAAATAAAAATTCTAGGTCCGCCTCGGTCTATATATAATTACAGCAACTTCTACAGATATGTTGGCAATATTCTTCCCTGTAGGAGACAAAAGCTGTATTATAGATGAATCATCCTTGTCTTCCTGGTCAATCTTTTGAAGGAAACATAGCAATAGCTGCTTGATAAGCATAAAACATACTGAAATATCTGAAGCATCTATCTATAATTAAAAGCAGAAGACAAAAGCAGCTCATGAAGCCAAATGGCGGAACAATAGAATGACACATGACATAATTAGTTATTAAATTAGTTATTGGTTATTCTTTTTAAT